CTTTGGACACGCATCATTAAGGTTGGTGAAGTCAATACACATCCTCCATTTGCCATTTGGCTTTTTGACGAGCACAGGGTTGGACACCCACTCAGAGTACTCCACTCTTCTAATGAAGCCTGCCTGTAACAGCTTTTGTATCTCCTCGTCTACGGCGGCTTGTTTCTCTGGGCCAAAAAGACGACGTTTTTGCACCACTGGCCTTCTGGTAGGATCTGTGCTGAGTTTGTGGACTGTTAACTCCGCCGAGATGCCCGGCATTTCATCAGTAGTCCATGCGAATACATCTTGATTGACCCTCAAAAATTCCAGAAGCTCTGCTCGTTCTTCTTCTGTGAGTTTGGTGCCTATCTTTACTGTTCTTTCCGGCACCTCAGGGTTTAAAGGAACGGTTTCCACTGGCTCTACTGGCTCTGCCTTCTGCTCGACGCTCTCAGGTCGATGCTCAATGTCTGATATGCTCATTGTCTGCTGACCGAGCTGGGTTGGCTTTCGACCTTCCACACTCGTTGGGGTTGCAGCGAGCTCGACTTTCCTGAACGTGTCTTGATAGCAAGCTCTAGCCATCTTCTGATTTCCTTTCAGGACTCCAACCCCCTGAGGAGTTGGGAACTTCATACAGAGGTGGGGCTGCGAGATAACAGCCTTCAGCTCGCATAGTGTGGCTCTTCCCAGTATAGCATTGAAAGCTGATTCCATCTTAACGACCAGGAAGGTGACAGAAGCCATCCTGAAGCGTGGTTCTGAGCCCACATATATAGGAAGGGTAATGACTCCTTCAACTGGGACGGGCTGGTTATCAAACCCGTATATTGGTCCTTCATGCTTCTGAAGCGAGCTCGGATTTAGCTGCATCTTTTGGAAGCAACCCCAATATAGGATATCTGGTGAACTGCCCGTGTCAATAAACACCTTATTGACATTATGATTGCCTATATGAACTGTTGCCACAAAGGGATCTGCATGGGGCATCATAATGTCGGGCTCTCCTTCTGCTCGCTTGTAATCTGCCGGGCTGAATGTAATGGGCGTATTTTCCCATTTTGCTTCCTCAAACGGTCGTTTCAATGGTCTGTTTTTGTTGACGGTTATCACCTGTCGAGCATATGCCTTGCGAGCTCGGGCGCTTTGGCCCCCCGAGTGGACACCACCCGATATCATGTTTATTGTACCAGAAGGTGGGGGTATGCCAGCATAACCTACCCCTTTTCTGTCTTTTTGATTCGGGGCAGCAGTTCTTGGTCCCTGCCCTCTCCTGTTGAAAGGACGTCCTCGGTACGCTCTGATCTGTTCAGAAGGATACTGGTTATCCCGATATGCATCCTGCATCCCCCCCTGCTGGTACCTCTGTCCTTGAGGTCGGTCATACACCTGCACAAAATGGGTTTGAGTGGGTTGCTGGGTGTGAGGCTTTTGGACATACCCTTCTAGCTTCCCGTTACGAGCCAAAAACTCTAACTCGTCCTTTAAGTGTTGGCAGTCTTCGGTATTGTGACCATATACACGGTGGTAGTCACAATGCTTGCTTTTATCTGCCCTCGGGGAATCATGTAGTGGGGGTGGGGGTCTCCGAACCCAGTGCTGAATTTGTGCCAGGATTTGAGACCTGGGTAAGGTCAAAGGAATGTAACTGGCATATTTCGGGAACTCAGCTGATTTCCCCCATTGCTCACCGACCTTCTGTTTCTTCTTTTCTTCTCTTCTCGGTTGTTGTTCTTGGCCTCTGCTCGGCTTATCATCAGCTCGTCGCTTGGACGACTGAAAATCCTCTGACAGTATGAAGCTGGCTGACCTGTCATTCACCTCATTCCACGTCTTCGGGGGGTTTTCAAGCAGGTCGTCTAGAAATCGACCACGCTTCAATCCATGCAACAGGGCGGACAGGCAGATTGTGTCTGGGACATTATCAATGTCCAATGTGGCTTTGTTGAACCGCTGCATGTAATCTCTCAGAGACTCCCCTTCCTTCTGGCTGACTTGCATCAGCTCAGTTGCTGTGCGCTTGATCTCCCTTTGGCTTGCAAATTTGTTAGAGAACAACTTGGCGAGCTGGGAAAATGAATCTATTGAATGCCTAGGGAGTTTGTGATACCATCTTCGGGCTGTTGATTTCAGTGTCGCCGGGAATACTTTGCACATCATAGCATCATTGGCGTTTTGAATCCTCATGATGGCTTGATAGGTGTGCAGGTGCTCGTCTGGGTCTTTCGTGCCATCATATGTCTCTAAGTGGGGAATTTTGAATCCCTCTTGATATGGTTCTGCCGTGATGGATAGGTTCAGCGGAGCACTATCCAAATCGAAGGTCTGCTGATGCGACCGAGGGCTTTTCAGCTCGTCAATGGATTTCTGTACATCCCGCAGTTGCCTTTCAAGGTCTGCGTTCTTTCTCATCAATTCTTCACTATATTTGGACGAGCTGGGCTCGACATTCAACTTCCCACTTCCCCTCGGCTTGGTCGGCACCACTATATTGCTTAGAGCGAGTGAGTTTCTAGTCGCTATAACCGCAGCTGGTTGTGTATCCCTGTTCAGCAGAGGAATCAGGGGGTCATCAGGGATTAAGCGGGCAAGGATTCTTCCCATTGCCATTTCGAGAACCCTGGTTCTCTCTTCGAGCTCGGTTGTCCGAGCAGGTTCTGTTGACCTTTCAGGTCGTTCTCGTTGTGAATTGTTCGGTCTGGCAGATCTTTGTCTCGTTCCTGTTGGAGCTTGGAACTGTTCGGGCTGGGTTGCATACCCAGTTGGTGTTCTTTCATCATCCGTCTCACTTAGGTGATCCTGTTCGGCTCCTCCTACAAAAAGATTCCTTGGCATCGGCCTGAAGTCATTCAAGCCGGCCTCAGATACGTGATCGTCTTCCTGTTCGTCTATTTCGTTTCTTGGAGGGCGTTCTCCTGTAAAGGTACGGACCATTTTGCCTTTCAGCAGGCTAAGTCACACAGCTTTTTTGTTCAAGTTTCCCACAGACGGCGCCAATGTTTCGACAGCTTCACAATCCAACACTGTTGAAGTCTTCAGCTGCTTCTACACCTGAAAATCCCGAGG